TCTCCGCCTCCTTCCCGCACATTTCAGCGCGGGAGCTGAACGCTCGCAGGCGCGCCGCCAGGTCTGCGGGCGGCCCGCGGGAAAGAAACTCAAGGCCGGGGTCGCGTATCATCAATCGGTTGTCCATCGTCCAAAGTTGCACTGGCGACGTACTGGTTGAACGCGGAGCGAGCAGCATCACGCGCGTGCCTGAACGCCACGCAGGTACAGTGCACGCGCGATTGGGACTTCAGGTCGATCACGCGCGTCTCCACCAGGCTTGGCAACACCACGCGACTGAGGATCTCACTGCGGTCTGCCATGCTGCTGTCCGCGAATGCAATGCGCTGCCTGCAAGTAAGGCGGCGGCGTCCACTTGTCTCAGAAGATGTTCCCGCGGGCCCGAAGGGCGACCGCCAGCTCGAGCCGCGGCGCCGGCAGGCCAGATAAGGATCATGCAACAGCAAAGACGATGACAGAGCAACGAGGTATCGGCGAGTGCATGACCGGCCTCCGTTTCCTGCACTTCTTTCCTGTAGTTCCCCTAGCTCATCGAGCTCAGCAGATGTTTCTGCGGGCCCGAAGGACGACCGCCAGCTCGAGTCGCAGCGCCGACGAGCTGCATCACCCCAGGAGACACTGGCACACAACGATTTGACGTCAGTCAGTGCCAGACCACTCCATGTCTAGTTCCTCGCACACATACAGTCGATCGCAGATGCGGGATAATCGAAGTAGAATGACGGGTCCAATCTGCGTCCGCGTAGGACGTCACTATGCTGGATTCCGCAGCAGGTCTCGAAAGTGGCGACAGTTTCGTGGGCCCCACAGCAGCCTTCGAAAGTGGCGACAGTTTCACAGATCGTAGCCCCCCAGCGCTGGCGAGGTCGAATCTGAATCTGCGCGGTGCCTCACTCCGCTGGACCCACCAGCAGCCCTCGAAAGTGGTGACAGTTTCGCAGATCGCAGCCCCCCAGGGACGGCGAGGTCTAATCTGAATCTGCGTGGTGCCTCACTCCGCTGGACCCACCAGCAGCCCTCGAAAGTGACGACAATTTCGCAGATCGCAAACCCCCAGGGATGGCGAGGTCTAATATGAATCTGCGTGGTGCCTCACTCCGCTGGACCCACCAGCAGCCCTCGAAAGTCGAGGTCTAATCTGAATCTGCGTGGTGCCTCAGTCCGCTGGACCCACCAGCAGCCCTCGAAAGTGACGACATTTTCGCGGATCGCAGCCCCCCAGGGGTGGCGAGGTCTAATCTGAATCTGCGTGGTGCTTCACTCCGCTGGACCCACCAGCAGCCCTCGAAAGTGGTGACAGTTTCGCAGATCGCAGCCCCCCAGGGATGGCGAGGTCTAATATGAATCTGCGTGGTGCCTCACTCCGCTGGACCCACCAGCAGCCCTCGAAAGTGGCGACAGTTTCACAGATCGCAGCCCCAAACGGATGACGTAAAAGGCAGAGAAGAGGAGGAGCGAAGAGAGGAGGAGAAGGGAAGCAAGACAGGAGGAGCGAAGAGAGGAGAAGGGATGCAAGAGAAAAGAGGAGGAGCGAAGAGAGGCGGAGAAGGGAAGCAAGAGAGGAGCGGAAGAGGGAAGAGAGGAGGAGGAGGCGGGAAGGAAGGAAGGTGGAGACCGCAGTACTCTATTCAAAACGAGTGCCCAACGCAGGAGGGTTGGGAAAAATATACAAAAATGCGAACGACAGGGCCAGAAATTCAGCATGCACATTGCAAACGTATCAAGACAGTCACGCTGTTCACAGCAGCAGGTTAATCGAGAACACCGCACAAGCCGACATGCAATAGGTAAACTCATGTAATGGACCGACGCATGAGCAACTCACAATGCAGGAAAGTAGAGTGCATATGACAACTGACCGCCTGCAGCACGAAGAAGGGCGGCAAGGGCTTCACCCTGCCCGCCCCCCAAGAGAAAAAGGGAACGGCGAGAAGAGGACAAGGAGAAGAACGAGGACGGGAGGCGAGATTGCGCATGTTACATCTGACCGCCTGTGACGCGAAGCAAGGTGGAGAGAACAGCCGAGAAGTCGGATCCGTGCACGCTGCAATTCTCCGATGCACTCGTGGCAAGGAGAGGCTGCCGACTCGAACAGACAAGGATCTGTATGTAAGCAGTCACAGTGCGGCAGGGGGCACTGGAGGCACCGCAAGTCAAAAATCCGCAGGCAGATCGGAGACATCGCACAAGTCGACCTGCAAAAATTAGGCAAATTCGTGCAACGAACCAACGCCTGAACAACACACTGACAAATCAAATGCCGTGCATGAGAACGCCCCCTAAGCACGAGGATAGACCCGGCAGCGGACAGGAGCGGCACGCTAGACATCAGACAGAACGAATTCGCCTGGCAAGCCGGGACATCGCGCAAGCCGACCTGCAATAGACAAAGTCCTGCAATGAACCGATTGAAAGCGGAATTACATTGCAGTGCCGATTTGATGAGCTCTAAGTAGGCAAAACTAGGGCAAGCCTCGCGAGTCAAAAAAAGAAGACTGTCGAGAACACCGCACAAGCCGACCTGCACTAGGTGAACTGGCGCTATTGACAGGGGCTTGAACAACATGTCGACTAGCAAAAGCCATGCATGAGGACACACGCACAGATATACACACACACACACACACACACACACACGCACACGCACATACACAAACACAAGCAGGTCTGCGAACAAGACAACAGCACTCGTACCACGCACAGCTCATGTCAGGGAGAGGCAAAGGACAACGAAAGCAAGAAAGGGAGCTGGATAATAGGATGCGAGCGAGCCCCACCGTCAACGAGTCATGCACGTTTGATTTTCTTCTTTCAGAGATCGGGGAGGCCCGTGCCCCGTGCAATCCCACCACGACTAGAAGTGGCAAGATTACATACAAAAAGACACCCTCAGCGTCACGGCTACGGACGGACTGGAACGCGAAAGGCTCGCCCATGCACACGAAAGTTTGGATGGTGTTGGCGGTGACAGGCAAGACAGTATCAACCCCGTCCTTCGCCAATGAGGCGACGAGCAGGCCAGGATTGATGGCGCCAGTGATTAGTGGCGACGCCGATGACCCTTCATGACAGCATCGTTCCAGTAGAAGCCTTCGGGGCACACTTTCGGGTGCTCCTTCCTCGCCTCCTTGACCTTCCAACACACAGTGCTCTCGACCATCTGCCTTTGGAAGCCCCGCATTGCCTAGCTCAGGGCATTGCCTAGCTCAGGCTGCAGATAACCCCGTCGAGAGTCCCGAGGATGAGCTTGTACGTCCCGACACTCAGCAGATCCACGGGCAGCACTTGGTCCAGGACACCCTTGAGCTCGAAGTGGTGGTCCTCGATGGCCCGCGCCACCTGGCTGCTCCCGAAGCCCTCCCAGCTGGCGCCCACAGCCTCCAGGAGATTCCCCACTGCGTCCACGTACTTCGCCACCTCCTGCGCGGCCTCGTGCGGGACGAACCTCACGACGCCAGCACTCGCAGCCAGAGCATGCGGGAGATGGCCATGCTCTCCGCGCCGGGGCCCCCAACGGCGCCGCCGGCACCCACAGCGCCCGCGGCGCGCGCGCGGCGCCGGCGGCCCCCGCAGCGCCCACGGCGCCGGCCGCGGCTCTCTCGCCGCGCCCGTGGCATTCGCGGCGCCCGAACTGTCTAACACAAGGTCATGGTGCCTGCAGTGCCGGTGGCTTCAGTGCCGAACTGCCCGTGCCCAGTGCTGTACGAACGCGAGCATGTTGCAAGCGGGTGAGGGGCAGGCTCGCGCCTGTGTCCCATGCCGCCGCGAGGCGTTCTGCCTTCCAATGGCAGGCACAACCGCCAGTAAGCTGGTGAACGCCACGAGCGAGATGAGCAACGCAGCAAAGGCCCCGAGGACCATCTCTTCGAGGATAGCAGAAACCAAAACGACATCTGGAAATGAGGGTAAGACAGGCTTGGAAGTGGAGGAAGGCGGAATGACCTCCTTATGGCCCGCGGCTTGACCCAGTGCGGCTTGAGCTCGCTTGAGCCGAGGGGGCTTGAGCCAGGCTACGGGCTCCCATATACACACACACAGACACAAACCTCCATGATTCCGCACAGGAGGCCATGAAATCAGCAATGAAGATGGCGGGTTACAGTAGTGAGGCAGTGACAAGGTTCGCATTCGCGTTAAAGACGGGACATCCTAAGTACATAGTCTGGCAATCAAGATGCGCAGCTGATGCACCGCTCAAGCAGATGCTCAATCGCGAGCGGAACCAGCCCAGGAGCAGAAAGGGCAAGTTTCGGCTAAAACACAAAGGCAAAGACACCAGGCCGCCGACCCTTTCCCCGGGACCGGCTTTTCATCCTGAGTCGTATTTTGACGTTCCCGATGCCCGGCGAAGGCCCCCTGAGGCCGAAATTGGCCCAAAAATTTTCCCGTCTTGATATTTTTAAGCCAGGGACAGAACTCTGGTGCAGGGCCCCAGTTTGCCCCAAGCGGCTTGCCGTAGGGGTCCGAGGTGCGTCTTCTCCAGGCACGTGTGAGGAGGAGGAGGAGGAGGAGGAGGAGAAGGAGGAGGAGGAGAAGGGGGAGCAGGAGGAGGAGGAGGAGGAGGAGTTCCTCTGGAGCAAGAACCGGTGGCCCGTGGTCTCCTGCACGGTCTCGCGCAGTCGGAATCTCCCCGTGTGAGCTTGTGTTATATGGTATATCTCCAGCGGTCTCCCGTACGATCTCCTGTGTGGCCTCCCGTGTGGCCTCCCGCGTGGTCTCGCGTATGGTCTCTTGCATGCTGTCCCGCATGGTCTCCCGTAGGGTCACCCGTTTGGACTCGCCTATGGTCTACCGCGTTTGCAGATTCGCATGGGGTTCTCGCTGCGGTTTGATTAAGATGTTTAGGGTCTTCTGCCACCAGGGTGTAACCCTCTGATATGAAGCGAGTTCGGCTCAGGATACCGTCCGACCGCCCCTGCCACTGCCCAGTGTTAGCAGATGCGGGCACACTGTCATGGATGCGAGGAAGGCCTGAACCTCTTCCCCCGGAAGGCACTAAGGTGGTGCCGTATTACGAGTGGGCTGAACTCAAGACCGAGGAGGATAAGATGGTGGCCGGGTATGTTGGAAGTATGCGGCAGCGTGTTCAGGCAAAAAGGTTCGCCATTGAAGGTTGACATGTTACTGCGATATTCTTGCAGTTGCAGGTTGGTTGCAGCCAGTGCGGTCTGATCATGTGTTGGTCGTGCCCACTGGGATTACCACGCTGTTGAAGTATGGTTTGGTGATGATGTTCCTGAGTTTGACCTTCTGGTCACCCTCTCCCACTCGCCCCCCTCCCTTTCAGGTATACCTGTGGTCACTGGGTCGCCGCGCCGCGGCCAGGAACAGGGGCCAGGTGCGCATTTCGACCAATATTGTTGTTTCTCTTCGTGCCCTTTCCTGACTTTGTAAGATTGTACACATTCCTTCCTGACTTCGTAAGATTGTTGTTTCTCTTCGTGCCCTTTCCTGACTTCGTGCCCTTTCCTGACTTTCCTTTCCTGCCTCTGGCCGGATCTGGAGACCACACCTGCCCCTTGTGCAGCGGAGCACCAGGCCCAAAAACCCACGGGAAAGAACAGCAATGGGTGTCACGGCGCACGTGCGAGTTGCGGCGTTCGCGCATCATCGCTGTGGAAGTACACTGTGGACACGCACGGCCCGTGCAATTGCAATATTGCCGAAAGGCGGCGGGAGCGGTTCACGATTTTGAAAGGAGTACAAAGGCCAGACATGCGCCGCGAGCAATTTTATCATCACCGCCTTCCCCGTAGGTAGAGGCGAGGAAATATATTGGAGGGCGACGACGAGGAGGAAGAAGAGGTAAAAGAGTTGGATCATGAAAGATGAAGAGGAATGGAAGGAACAGGCTTAGGACAAGGAGCATGTTTAGAAGAAGGATGAGGAACTGTAGCAGCAGCACTATCAGTAGCTGCGGCAAAATTAGTGGCAGTAGCATGCTCAGCATGTCGGCCAGCAGCACGCCGTATAAACGGTGAAATTGCGCACCGATTATTGCAGTTGGCAAGCGAGGGTGGACAACACATGCGAGACAATTATACGTTTAGCATTGCATCGTTGTCAGAACTTCGTGGGGAGGCTCAGGAGAAGAATGCGGAAGAAAGGGAGCAGTAGGCGCCGCAAGCAAAGGAGGAGGAGGACGAACAGAAGCATGGATGATGGTGCCCAGGCATTGGGACGGGTCTACTCGGTGCTTGCGGGGGGGCTTCACTGGGACCTTCGACTGCCTCTTGGGGCCCTGTTGTGCTGCTGTACGGGCCCGTTCGAGGACGTGTGTTGGCTCTCTTTGGTATTTCTAGACGTTCTTATTCCTAGGTTTTCCAGGGGTCCGCTGGCGTTCTTATTCGTGGGTTTTCCAAAGGTATTCCTTTGGTGTTTCCAGGCGTTCTTATTCCAGGTTTTCCAGCGGTCTGTTGACGTTCTTATTCCTAGCTTTTCCAGCGGTGTTCCTTTGGTGTTCCTAGACGTTCTTATTCCTAGGCTGTGAGCTCGTCTTCGAGGCCCGTGTTGGCCCCTCCCGAAGCCGCTGTGGCATGCAGAATCCAGGATCGGACCCGCTCCCCCCCCCCCCCCCCAACCATGCCGGCGGGATCGCCCCGCCCTCTTCCCCTCGTGGATGGGCGTGGGGTGGTGCTTCGGACGCCGCGAACTGGATGGAAAGGGGCCGGAGATGCAGTTTCCTGGGGTGACCTGGCGGAGATTCTGCTCCCGCGCTGGCCAAACACACGTTCTCGGGAGCGCTGGGGCCGGAGTCGCACGCCCTGCTGCGGACTCCGCGAGACCTCATCGAGCGGGGGGCTGCGGCCCCCGCGCGCCGCCCTCAGGAAGCTGGGCGGTGCTGCGGAACCGTCGTCGTCGTGTGTCTCGTCGTCGTCGTCGTCGTGGTCGTGGTCGTCTTCGACGTCGTCGTCGTCGTCGCTGACGTCGTCACCGTCGTGTTGGCGTAAGCTCTGGAAGCCTCTTGAGGCCTCGTGGGGCAGCATTGGAGCATCCTCGGCGTTTTCTGCAAGTACGTGGAGCTCTCTTGGGCCGCCTTGGGCTTCCCCCTCTCCAGGTTCTACATGATTTCTTTAAGCCTGTGACTGCGAGATGGTTCCTCATTTCTCTGCCGGGCTCAGGGGCCCAGATCACCGGAGATGGCCACGCGAAGCCCTAAGAGGGCCGCAGGACAGGACAATCCAGTGATCTCTCGCGCCATCTCCAGGAGGAAGGCGCTCTTTCCGTTCCCGTGCGGGCCGATGTTAGCACGCGCTCTTGGCCCACAGGGCACGTTTGCGAATGTTTGCGAAGGCTTGTGGCTGGCAAGACAAAGACGGTTCGGCAGGCAGAATAGCATTGAGTTATCTCGCTATCGTTGTGCTTCTCTCTCTCTCTCTTGTATGTGTGGTTGATCCACTTCTCGTGCCACCGTGAACCAAAGAGCTCGCCAGCCGGACGCCGCAGCGGCACCTGCTGACTTGGCCGAGGAGTTCCAGAGCGATTTGCAGAGCGACCTCAGCGAGATGTCTGCATAGGCTGCGACAGCCTGGACGTCCACGCTGGCTCGGGAAGGTACCTCTCGGGGGGCAGCATACGATTCGCTCCCAGGGGGATTGACACCTTGCCCATCGGAGGGTGCACTGGCGGAGCGGCATTTCGCAAGTAGGTGTAAGAGATGGACGGAGCCTGAGAAGGGAGACCATCATCATACTGACAAAAGGTTTGGGTCTGGCCTGCACTAGAAAGTTCGCACGGGATGTACAGGACAGCAGCTGCCGCAGGCTACGAGTTTCGGTCCTCGGCTTCGGTCATGCTCTTCTCCTCCCGAGGTGCCGAGAGGATGCTGCCGGAGGGCCGCCGCTGGCAGGCTGGGACCTGCGGCGTTCCCCCGCCACGCCCTGGGGTGCAGCAGCGCGATCGCGATGCAAAGCAAAAAGCGCAGCCGCGCCGGCTGAAAAAACAGCATCAGTGCAGGAGGGGGAGTGATGAGATTTGCACCACACGTCGATGCGCGTGAGACGATGCGAAGTGGAACGCGAGAGATTTCAACGGGTTGCGTTCGGTCTGCTGCTCAGACATGAGCGATCATTGAATTGTGCGGTGGCCTGCCTTGTATTCGAAGGCCGCGCTTTGTGCGGGAGGGCGCACGGTGACAGGAACGACAAAACGAAGGCTACAATGAACAAGGGGTTGTGATGGGCCGCTGTCGAAAACGTAAACCATGAAAGCCATGTCTGTGGTATGAACATGAAAAGTTGCGCGCGTCAAGTCTTCTCCCGGAAGTGGTTTGGGAATGTATAGTCTTATGTTGAAACTCGGTTCCGGAATCGCCCATATTCTGACTTACCGAACACCCATTGCAGTCGATTCACGCACATGTCCATTCATGATTGGTTATGGTTTTCTTTGCACATTATGCGTGAATGTGCTCTCCTGTCATGGCTACGTGTCTCCGCACGGGGGAGTCACTGCGCATGCGCTTGTAAATATGGATGTAGGTAGCCATACGAATTTCTTCCATTGGTTACCCATGCCGCGCCACTCATAAAAAAAGTCCGAAACGATTTGGTTCATAATGGTATCTCGTTCTCTCTCTCTCTCTCGCTCTCTCTCTCTCTCTCTCTCTCGTTTTCTCTCTCTCTCTCTCTCTTTCTCTTTTTCTTTCTCTCTCTCTCTCTCTCTCTCTCTTTATTTCTCTCTCTCTCTCTCTCTCTCTCTCTCTCTCTCTTTCTTTCTTTATCTTTCCATCTCTCCCTCGTTAATTCAACCCCCCTGATGTCAATATTGTGTAATTAATCGCTCTCCCGTTCCTTCTATATATCTGCAGGTACTTGTACATTGATCTTGGGCCCCTTCCCCAACAGGATTGGCCGAATCTTGTTGTGTGTCTTTATGTCTTCAACCGTTTTCGCTCAAGTTCAATTTGTGGACAGGCCACCCCACCCCATTCCGTGCCCGAAGTGGATGTGGGGAGAGCTCGCCCATCTGGCCACAGGGCTGACGCATAGCTACCTGGCGAGTTGCCAGCGCTGACCAGAGCACCGCTGCCTCGACTGCAACTGCGGTCGGTGCCCGTCCATCCCCGCGTGCCCGACGTGCCCAGACGCGCCCGTGCCGCCGGCCGCGTCGGCGGATGTGCAGCTCGAGATCGGGCTGCCGTAAAGCTGGGCCTTCGCGCTGCTGGTCGGGGGCTGCCTGGCCGGGGCCGTCGGCGGGGAGGCAGCGAACGATTTCGTGCGAGGCTGCTGCTGCCGACGGCAACGTGGCGAGGATGCCGACCGTGCTGACCAAACCCGAGGAGCCCACCCACGCGTGGGTGTACGTGCTCTACAATGGGGAGGGCGAGCTGTGGCACCAGAGGCGACGCGTCGCGACTTTAAGGGTGTTTTGGGCGATTAACAACATTTTCAAGCCTGATGGCGACTGCTACGCGGAGAAGTACGACATGGAAGAGCAGAGCATCTCGGCGGTGAGGTACGCCGAGGCGCGATGGCCGCCGCCGCCGCCGCCTGGGCTGGCGCGGGGAAACGTGTACAGGTTCACGGCCACGCCGAGTCAGCAGGAGGTTGACGACGCGACCGACCAGGGGAAGGCGATGAAGAGGGCTGACCGCCGCACCCGGGAGCTCGCTGCCGGGCATAACCCAGCGGCGGTGCCGGCGGGAGGCTACGTCGGGCGGCTGCTGGTAGCGGAGGCCGTTGCGGCAGCGCCGGCGCTTGCCCTTGCCGTCGCCGCGCCGGCCGCCGGAGGAGGAGACGGCGTGGCGGCAGCGGGTGGACCGCGGCGCGTGGGCGTCCAAGTCGGAGCCGCTGGCGCTGGCGCTGGGGCTGGAGGAGTTGGCGGGGATCGAAGTGATCAGACCCTGGTGTGGATTGTGGTGGAGACGCCGAGGAGGTGAAGTGGCGCTGCCCACTGGTACCACGGTCGTCGGGGTGGGTGCGTTGCCCATGCTGGCCGATGGTTCCGTGGCCACCATCCAGCAGATGAAGCGCTGCGACGTGCGGAGCTGGACTGAAACCGAGGCGGAGGGGGATGCGAGGAACCTCGGCAGCCAGATCAGCGACCTGGGGCGGCAGCGGTCCCAGTGGCGGGATATCGTGAGAAAGTCGAGCGCAACGGTTTCGCGGCCTGGCCCGCGGCGGGACCGCGCCCAGCCGAGCGGTGCACGTTGTCCTTGAATCGTAGAGGAGGCGGCCCGATGGATCACCATCGGTATATCGCGATGCTGAACGGCCTCGAGACGGGCGACTGGGGCGTCGAGACGCACGGGATGTGCCTGAAGGCCGTGGAGGCAGGTGGGAACGGCCACTCGGCGCTCTGCAAATGGGCGAGTTTCGAGCTGTTGTTTCGCCAGGCGCAGCTCGTAGAGTACGTCTCCGAGCAGGAACGGGTCGCCAAGCTGACCGCCGGCGGCAAGGGGAAGAAGGGCGTCGGCAAGGGTGCCGGCATGCTAGACGAGCCGTTCGCGTTCGCAGGAGAGCACCGAGATGCTGGCGGCGTGACGTTTGCACCTGAGCTGATGGACTTCGCATCTACGGAAGTCGAACGGGACGCGAACATCATGAAGCAGGTGAGGGTGGCGTGTCTCCACCGTTCTGCAGTCCCGATCGTGAGCGTCGAGTAGCTCGCGAACTCCCACCGCTTCCTGCGCCTGCGGGCCGCTCGCCTCTCTCAAAGCTGGTGGGCAAAGCAAGCGGTGGAGGGAGGCAAGCCTTGCGCCGCGCAGTCCGCCGGCGAGGGCTTCGGAGGCGCCATCGAGAGGATGGAGCGTCCGGACCGTCCGGGGCCATCGCCACCCTCGCGCGTTGCACGGGGCCGCGCAGGACTTCGGCGACTCGAATTTGCAGCCCAGCGCGGCGCGCTACGCCAGCCTGCAGCGAATCCAGCAAGCCCACCACGAGCTACGTTCGCCGCCGGCAGACTTGCACGGACAGGGAGCCCTGGAGGAGCCCTTGTCGAAGCAAAGCCACGGCGGCGCCGCCGGAGCAGTTGCCGGAGCGGACAGTCTTGCCCAATCTCCAGCGCTGACCCGCTCGCATCCAGGACGTCGGCGGCTCGGCGGGCGCGCAGGTGCCCGAGGTTCTCGGGGGTTTGGTTCGGACGCCAGAGGAGGGCGCGGACGAGGGGGAACGACAGCAGCTGCGCCGATCCCACGACGACCCGATCGTCGGCCAGAAGCCGAGGGAGCACGCGAAGCTCCTGCGGTCGCCGTGCTAGCGGCGGATCATCGAATGCAGGCGCCGCCGCAAGAAAAGGGCGGGAAGAAAAGGGTGGGACAAGCTTGCGTCTGGAAGGAGGGAGGAGAGCAACGTCTCATCCTGGACTGCCGCGTGAGTAACTGCCGGTTCAAGGGTGCTCCTGGAGTGAACTTCGCGACGGGGGACTGTGCTGGACGGCTCGAGTTCGAGGGGGCCGAGCCTGCGCACGTTTCGGGCGTGGACATCGAGGTGGTTTCCTATTTCATAGGGCTGCCGGAGGAGCTGCGAGAGTGTTTCGGGATGGAGCCCGCGCGGGCGGGAGCTGCCGGCCTCCGTCGGCCAGGCGGGGCGCGTCTGCGCATTGGGGAGATCGTGGCGCCACTGCTGGGCGCCCTGCCCATGGGCTTCAAGGGCGCGTTCTACGCGTGCCAGGCGCCGCACGAGGCGGCGCCCGAGAGGGTCGCCGGTGTCGGGGTGGGAAACAGGCCGGAAGACGGCCGACCCGCGCCGGCTGCGAGCCACGGAGCTGCGCGCACCGAGCACGTGGATTGTTTCGTCGCGCTCGGCACGGACGGGGAGGAATGGCGCCAGCTGGCGACCGAGGTCGGCGAGGCGCTGACGGCCGACGGCCTGGGCGCCCACCCGGCCACCTGCAGCCGCGGGGGCGACACGCCGGGCTGACACTTTGATAAGTGGAGGCCGGCCGCAAGCGCGGCCCCCCGCACCGCCCGGCGCCTCACCCTTGGCCCGCGAGAGATGCTGCGACGGGGCCGAGCGAGCGGCCCCCCGTTGAGAAGCATCGTGGGTCATAACACTTTTCGCGCGCAGCTGAGGCGCCCCATCCTTTCTGCATTCCACACAGCCCATGCCTTCATCGATCGCCACCCTTGCACGAGTTACCAAATTGTAGGATTCGGCGAGGCAAGAGTTGGAGTGGATAAGTCACCTGGCCCCCATGGCCTCCAGAGAGCACACCGTGGAGTGGAACCCCAAGGTCACGGCGTTCGACGCGAGCGAGCAGGGGCACGGGGCGATGGAGCGACGTTGCGACATCGGAGCGATCAAGCATACTGGACGGCATTCGGACAGGTGGAGATTTTCGAAGTCTGGGGAACAGCGGGCACGACCAAGAGAGGACGAGGGTGTCTGGGGACAAGAACAAGGAACTACGCGGGGTGCCTGCAGTGCCCAGGTCTATTTGGGGATGCTGCTGGAGGCGCGTCATCAGTAGGCCCCGGAACATTTCGGGAGACCAGGCCGTCCTGGAGGCCCAGGCTGGCGTCTGGGTTGCGCGACGCATTCTTCGAGACAGCAAGGCCGCGGGTCAACGACGTCTC